CTTGTTTGTTAAGATGGAAGCTTATATAATTGAAATCTTCCTTTTCTAATAAAAGCTTTTAATGCTACAAATTTCCTCCTACGGAAATTTCCTCCACTGTTTTTACTGCATCTCACACATTTCGGTATGTTGTGTTTTTATTTAATATAAAAAGATTTTAAAATTTCTCTGATGATGCCTGTACGTAATCTGTGGATTACTTCAAAGTATGTTGTTAAATTCTAAAACTTGGGGATTTTTTTTCTCAGCTGTATGCTGTCAACTTCTATTTTAATTTCATTTTTGTCGGAACATTCTGTGTATGACTTAATCTTACATTTATTCAGACTTCTCTTATGTCCTAGATTGTGATATGTTTTGGTAAATGTCCTGTGTACACTTGAAAAGAACGCTGATCTTGGGTAGAATGCGGTAAAAGCATCAGTTAAGTCAGATTATAGGATAGTGTTGTGTTAAGTCTCATATTTCTTAATGATTCTCTAGTTGTTTCGGCAAGTAGTGAGAGGAGTTCAAATCTCCAACTGTAACTGCAGATTTTTCTGTTCAGTCTCATCGATTTTAATGTCGTGTATTTGGGGGGTTTTCTCTTTTATTTCACAGTATTAAGGAAGTATAAGTGGTTTTGTTATGTGGTTATCTCCTATAATGCTTACGTCTGAGATCGTCGTGTATTTTGGAGCTGCTACTTGATGATGCAAACACATTTAAGATTAGGTCTCCTTGATTCAGACAGTGACAATCAAATGTATCTCCAAACATTGCCAAATGTCCCCTTGGGGGCAAAAATCTCATACCCTCACCCCATTGGAGAACCCCTAATCTAGAGTAGCCTTTGTTCTGGACTAATTTAGCCTTACTTCTAAGGTGCTGCCCTACTTAGATCTCCAGTGAATGCTCCGCATCAAGTTCTTTCTCTTTAACCAACAAGATTGCTGGACTCTGGGTTCCCCTTCCCTATGTCAAAGTATGATACTTACAGTAGAACCCCAATAGTTGACACCTCCCTGCATTGACCACTTCCTTAAGTTGACCTAATTTTCTTTTCTGTTTGTTCTTTTTTCAGATTAATATGAGGGTACACATAATTAGGTCACATTGTTTGCCTTTGTTAGGTAAAGTCCCTGTTATAGTGGTGCCCCTCACCTAGGAGGTGTGCCACGAACCCTTACATTGTGCCCTGTAGGTAAGAACACACTAATCCCTCTCCCTCCTCCTCCCTTCCCCCAACTTGAATTTAATTGAGTATTTCTCTTGTGTGGGTGTGTGTTTGTTCATCTGCTGGCTTCATGTTAATACTGAGTACAGTAGATACTTGCTTTTCCATTCTTGTGATACTAAGGAGAATGTTCTCTAACTCCACCCAGATTACAGAAGATGTAAAGCCTCCATCTTTTTATGGCTGAATAGTATTGCATGGTATACATATACCATGGTTTATTAATGCATTCATGGGTTCATGGACACTTGGGTTGATTCCACATCTTGTTGACCATAAACTAAGCTATGGGCTCGGCGCCTGTAGCTCAAGCGGCTAAGGCACCAGCCACATACACCAGAGCTGGTGGGTTCAAATCCAGCCCGGGCCCCACAAATAACAATGACAACTACAACCAAAAAATAGCCGGGTGTTGTGGTGGGCACTTGTAGTCTCAACTACTTGGGAGGCAGAGGCAAGATAATCACTTAAGCCCAGGAGTTGGAGGTTGCTGTGAGCTGTGAAGCCACGGCACTCTACCCAGGGCAATAGCTTGAGGCTCTGTCTCAAAAATAAAATAAAATAAACTGAGCTGTGATAAACAATTTAGTGCAAGTGTCCTTATGATAAAATGATTTTTTTTCCTCCTGGGAAATGCAGGAATTCCTACTAGGTAATGGAATTGCAGGATCAAATGGGAGGTCTAATTTGAGTTCTTTGAGGATTCTCCATACTTTTTTCCAAAGAGGCTATATTAATTTGCAATCCCACCAACAATGTAAAAGTGTTCCCTTCTCTCCGCAACCATGCCTGCATCTGTAGCTTTGGGACTTTGTGATGTCAGCTATTCTCACTAGGGTTAGGTGATGTCTCATGGTTGTTTTGGTTTGCATTTCTGTGACGGTTAGGGACGATGAGCATTTGTTCATGTGTTTGTTGGCCATTTGTCTTCTGCGGAGAAAGTTCTGTTCATGTCTCTTGTCCAGTGATAGATGGGATTGTTTGTTCTTTTTTTGTTGATTAATTTGAATTCTCTGTACTTGACCTAATTTTCATGGACTGGACACGTACCACACGTACGTATCAGTACAGCATGCCTAGTTCCTTATGCTGACCACCTCCATATGTTGGCGAGTTTGTTAGTAGTCCTTTTAGTGGTCAGCCCATAGCAAAAAAAA